CCTAAGGGAGAGACAGAAACAGGACATAGGCATGGTGGTCTCCACCTTGTTTTGCTTTCCATGTTCACTTGGGAGTGTGTAAAACCCTTCCGTTAATGCATAGTTTCTGCCATGGTCCCTTTGTGTTGTGCCTGTGTGGGTAGAGGCATCCAGCTGAGACATGGGAATCCATGCATGATGCATGCCCTGTTACACACCTTTGTCGTCTCCTCGCCTCTGGCATGAAAGATGTGTCAAGGGTGGATGGTGAAGGAGGGCAGCGCTGCCTTGTGCTGCCTGCAATCCGTACTGCCCTGCTTTAAACACAAGTGCTTACTGCAGGTTTTTCCTTCCTTCCCAAGACTGCCAGACACGGGGGCAATTCAGGGCTCTTTCTCAGCGCTTCCGAAGCAAGAGGTCTCCTGGCTTCAGCTACCCAGAGGAGAACCCTGCCAAGCAGAAGCCTGCCTTGCCCAGGTACGGTGTCACCGCTCCTCCTACCTCCGTTTTATGAAGCATAAGAATAGTTTTAATAACTCAGTACCTTTGGACCTTTGAAATCATCATTCTGCAGAGGTCTGGGATCAGGGGTGCTGCAGCCCATAGATGCTGAGCTCAAAGTCCTCCTACACTTAGCACAGAGCCCAACTCTGCTGTTGAAATACCTGGGCTGAGTGGCTGGTCGGTTGGCATCTCTTGGCAGTTGGGCCCTTCAATTGCTGCTTACTTGGAGGCTGATGCTGGAGAAGGCAGCATGATTCTCTCCTCCAGGAAGCTGATGTTAGCATAATCCCTTTCACTTTTTATCCCTGACCCCAGAAATGAGGTGCCTTCTCCAGGCCCTTCCTCCAGAGGGAATCTCGAGTCCCTTGTGGCTGAACTGGAGAAGACGGTCGCTTCCCTACGGAAACAGGTAAAACTCTGATCCCCAATGTCTGTCTTCAATGGAGTCACCCTAGGAGCAGGGTTTATCTTTATGCTATGGGCAGCCTCTGTGACTTCTATGTCCTCCAAAGAGCAGCCATGCAATCAAAGGGAACTAATGGCAAGTAGAGAAGAGATGGAGTAGGGAGAGAAGAGATGAAGCTGAGCTCTACAAGCTCTACACCCATAGAGTAAAACACAAGTTTAAGCCTCAATGAGGGTAGCTTGAGCCAGTGCTTTCTCCTTGTGTGTGGAACAGGTTAAAGATTATCTATGCAATGTGGAAAACTCCTCTTAGAGCTGCTTCTTCATCGTTCCCATCAGGTGAATGCACTGGAGAGCCAGCTGAGGTGGCACCATGGGAACACCAGCACACATGGATGGGGGAAGAAGACTGGAGATAAATGGAGAAGATGACCATGTTGCCTGTTTGTATGAGGTCAGTGTGTTTGTTGTGGGCTGGGGTCAATGTGGTGCCACTGAGAGTGCAAGTGGGGCACCTCCGTAGCCTTCACATGAGGAAGAGACTGTTGCAGGAGGGAATGGAGCAACCTGGTGACGAATGGGACAAGATGTAATAGGCTCAAATGCATCAGGTTAGGCACTCATTTCTACCAGTAATGATTAGTGACTCACTGGAATGGGCTGTCTGGGGACATGGTGGCGTTATCCATTCCTGGAAGTCTTTCAAGAACTGGTTTGGCAAAGATGGGGAAAGACATAAGTATAGGATGGACCAGGTGGACTGGGCGAGGTCTCTCAGGCCTGTTCTCCTGGGACTCTGGGTTGGTTTCTTCTAACAACACTTAATATCCCAAACCCCAAATCCAGCAGCCTCCAAAGGACCTTTGTGGGGAGGGAGTTATCAGGGAGCTCAGTGATGGAGCTGATGGACTGGTTCCTCCTCAGGGTAATAAGGACACCTGGGCAGATGGAGCAATCCATCGTTTGCTTACATGCTGGCAGAGATTTCCCATCAACATCTGAGTCACTGTGCACCTCTCTTGTGAAGGCACCACTTGTTGGCTCAGCTTGAGCTGTTTAAAGTCACTGTCAGCACCTTGCCAGCCCAGGGACTCCTGCTGCTGCTCAGCAGTGCCATGGCACTACCAGACCTCTGGCCCTTGGTGTTTAGGGGCACAGAGCACAGACTGAGCTCTCTTAGCCTGCTTTTCCATGGAGATGAGGCCTTTCAAGAGAGGTTGAACAACTCGCTGGCACCTGCCAGTCTGGAGGAGGTGTGTGATGGTTTTCATGTGTTGAAATGATTACTCCAGGGATGGGAACAGAGGAGAAGTGTTGTTCTGCCAGGCAGTCTGTCCTAGGGGGAGCATCCTCTGCAAGTTAGATTACAGGATAGGGCAAGCAAAGGCTGGTGTGTGCTGATAATCTCAACAGAAGGCAGGATGGGAAGCCTGTGGGCTGGCCACAGTGATTTCCAATCTGATGTGGTCTGTTGTTGGTCCTTATAGATTTTCCAAATAGCAATTCCCCTTCAGAAATTCAACATAAATTGCAGTGTAACACATGAGTTGGCTTTTCCTTGCCATCATTTCAGGTCCATGAAGAGCACTTTAGGGTTTACAGGGTCTCTGAAAAGCATCTCTGTGGATTTAAAGGGCTGTGGCCATGGTTGCTTTCATGCTCTGGTCACACATGCCCCAAACCTGCCAGGCACTGTACAAAGAGCTCACTGTGACTCTTGCTGCCTCCCATAGAGATTATCTGCTTTCTTGTGCCATTTCAGGTGCCCTGTGGCCTGCACTCCTGCTCTCCACCACCCAGTCCAATGCACTCCTACAGGGCTCAGAAACAGCAGTGTGAGTCCCCACGATGCTCTGCCTCCTCTCACACCTCCTGTACCACTCCCTGTCCCAGGACAGCCGTACTCCTGCCTGTATTGACCCCTCTGCACTGACTGCCTGGAAGCCCCTCACTCCTTGGATACTCCTGGACCTCCCAACAGCCCTTTGGATGAGCTCTGCCCTATTTGGTTGTGATTTGATGCCACTTTCTTCTACAGTTCCCAAGAAATGGAGAACAACCGGAGCTGCTTTAGCACTGTTCTGCTCTCCTCATCCCACGCAATGCTGTCGTCATCCACCACTCCTGTCTGAAGTGTCCTATGGGCACCCAACTGAAACAATTCATTAAGAGGCAAAACCTTTCTCTGTGGTGCCAGGAAGTGTCTGGAGAAGCCTAGAGAGAACAAATAGAATTAAATAAAGATGAAAGCCAAAGCAAACCCGCAGCCATCTCCTCACGCCAATGGAAAGAGCAAGAGGAACCTCAGGGCCGTGGCAAGCACTGTTTGGGCAGTCCCTGCCAGCAGCAGTGAGGTGAACCCAAGGTCTGGGAAGTCTCCTGGGTGTTCGAGTGCTCCAGGATGGGATGGAAGAACCAGCAGACCACGGACACTCACTATAAGCCATGGCACATCACCAGCCATTGGGTGATGAGTGACATCTTCAGTTATATGACCCTGCAAGTGACCTGCTATTAAATGCCTAAAAACATTCTCCTTGGCATGACCCACATTCTCCAACTTTCTGCCCCATTTGGGATTTATGTTGTATTTATGGGGCTCCCCCCCCCCCCCAGAAAAAAAGTCTCTTTGCTGGAAGACATATTTTGAGCGTAAATGTAACAGGACCTGGAACAGAACCTCCAATAATTCCATGTAATGGGCACTCTCATTAGTGGAGGGGAGCTGCTGGTTTCTGTCAGTGCAGGAGAACACGATGTGCAGTGCGTGACACACAGATGAATGCAAAGTGCTGTTTGTGTCTAGCACTCCCAGGAGCTCTGCAACTAAGCCAAGACTATGTCACCAGCTCCTCTGAACAGGTCCTCTGCTTCTATTGCTCTTTGAAGGTGCTTTTTAGTGGTGCTAGATCTGAAGTCCCTGTGTATCCACCAGAGCCCCACATCTGTGGGCAGGGTGGGTTTAATACATCCTTATAAGCTGGTTAGAGGGACTAAAGGGAAAATACTTGATCCATCAGATATCTGTGCCACCCTTATCCTCACTTCTGCATCCTCCTACCTACCTTCCCACACTGCAAGGACCAGAAACTGTTATGAACATGCTTTTTCTTTTCTTCTGTTTTATTTTTAGGTGTTTTATAGTACCAAAGGGCTACAAAGCAGCAGGGATGCTCCTGGAACTGAATAGGAAATAAAAAGGAATAGAAAATAAAGGTTGTGATTTATCAGCTATTTCCCAGCGTGGGGTTCTGGGCTCTGTGTGTGTCCTATGCAGACGCAGGCTTGCAGTGATGAACGTGTGTTATGCATGTCTGGGACGTTCAGCTCAGAGGCAGTATTTAGTCCTCAGGGATGTTTGTCATTTTGAAGTACTCTTTCATTTAGGTGCAAATCAAGATCTGAAGCTTTGCGTGTTCTAAATCGGCTGCACTTGTCTATCTCTTGTACCACTAGAGAACTTGGCAAAGGTCAGTAAAGGTAAATCAGGCTCTAATCTCCTCCTGCAAACCAGGAGTTTACCAAGTCCTCATTCAAAGCAGTAAGGCGTAAATGTTCGGTGCTTGATCTGATCAGATAATCTCTAAATGCAAACCACGCAGCCCTGCTTAGTTTTCCTCCTGATGGAGCATGACGTGAAGAGCAGACCTGTTGGAAGCGCTGCACAAGGACAGCAGTTGGGATGTCCCTTCCCCATGTATGAAGATAGGCTGAGAAAGTTGGGGCTGTTCAGCCTGGAGAAGAGAAGGCTGCATGGAGACCTCATAGCAGCCTTCCAGTATCTGAAGGGGGCCTATAGGGACGCTGGGGAGGGACTCTTCACTAGGGACTGTAGTGATAGGACAAGGGGGAATGGGTTAAAACTTAAACAGGGGAAGTTTAGATTGGATATAAGGAAGAAGTTCTTTCCTGTGAGGGTGGTGAGGCACTGGAATGGGTTGCTCAGGGAGGTTGTGAATGCTCCATCCTTGGCAGTGTTCAAGGCCAGGTTGGACGAGGCCTTGGGTGATATGGTTTAGTGTGAGGTGTCCCTGCCTATGGCAGGGGGTTTGGAACTGGATGATCGTAAGGTCCTTTCCAACCCGAACTATTCTATGATTCTGTGTGTTGTAAAACCCTTCTGTGCTCCATCCTCTGTTCCCCTCCCCATGCTGAAGTGGGAAAACCACCCAGACAAATTGCAGGACGTTCCCCATCAGGTGGGAGAAGACCTTGGTGGAATTATCCTATGGATAATGCAGGTGTGATTTGGTAAGTAAGGAGTAGGTGTTTCACTGAAGATTCCCTTTATCCCTAGCTCCCATCTGTGCAGCAACGTGTGGGGCATGCTCATGGAGCGCTGTGTACTCCTGCCCTCTGCCTGGGAGAGAGGAAAGAAAGAGTTGATCCCAAACCACGTATTGAAATCCAGCTTTTGCAGGTTGTTTGGGCATCGTGGGGCACATCGAGCTGCTGACCCAGGGATGGGTCCGGGTTTGGTCTTCAATCTGCAGCTTAGATCTTTACCATTGATTTGCCATTATCTTTCTTTCTAAGCAGCCTCTTTGAAAACCCAGCTGCACACCCAAAATGAAGCCACCCAGACCAGTTATAACCAGAGGAGGATGGAAACAATGGGCTCAAGGCCAGGAGCGGGGTTGCCAGGCACAGAACTCCCTCTAATTAGATAGAACAGTTAAATGACAAAACCCAGGCAGGGGCTGGGGGGGGGCTGGAGCTGGAATTGCTCTGAGAGCAGCATCTTCATGTGGCTTAAAGTGCATGTGCAAGGTGAAAATCTCCATCCTTTGGCGGATCACACAAGGACCTCCTAATGCTGAGAGGGGCACATCTCTGCTGGAGGCTGAGCAAGCACCAGATCCTGTTGGATCTGGGAAGTGGGTTCTTGCAATGGGGAATTAATGGGGGGAGGTAAATGCACTAGCAGGGTAACTCTGGGAGGTTGCTGCAGACCAAAAAGGAAAAGGATTATGTTACAACCCCCACACGATCCACCCAACGACGATCCAAACCACCTCTTTTCTAAGGTTATTCCCTCACTTCCGTTTGAACTCTCGCACACTTGTGGATGCAGTTATTTTCCTATGGAAAACAAAACCAACCCAAACCCTCCCACACAAGTGAGATCAAGACTATTAACTGGAGTCAGCCACTTGTCACAAGAGCTGCTTGAAGAGCAGAGAGCTGTGTTTACCAGCGCTGCGGTAACAAGCAGGAGAGCTTCACAGCAGTAATTAAAGAGCAAGCAGAAGCCTTCTTGCTCCCTCTTGGAGAGCAGCGAGTGCGGCTCCAGCTGTGCCCGGCTCCCAGATGTGCCCGTGGGTCTGAGCGTGGGCCTCCCGCCTGCAGACTCGTCCCACCAGAACAACCAGTTTCACTTTCAGGAATAGGAAGTTCTCTGGGAAGTGCCGGCAAGCGCCCAGACACGCGCCAGGGACGCGGGACGGCGGCATGAGCTGCCCGGCCGGCAGCATGAGCCCGGGATCGCCCTATCCAACGGCATCGGGAAGCACGGTGGCGTAGACCACCGCATCCACCGCCTCCTCCAGGGATGGAGCAGTTTGTCCGGAAGCGTTTGACCTTCCTGACATCCTTCTGGAACAAGCTCCGTCCCCGCTCTGTGTCGGAGAGCTGCTCGCTGGGGTATCTCGGTTCCGATTCCGTTTCACTGCACTCGGAGCCGAATTCCATTCCCTTCATCCCCAAGTCCTCTCTTTTCATCGCTTTATACGCTTTCACAGCCCGGAGTGAGGAGGAACTGAGTGTAAGCGCAGGGGACAAACTGCGTGTCCTCAGAGAAGAAGGAGAGTATGTGTTTGCCCGGCGGCTGCTGGGGGAGCCGGCCATGGGCTATGTCCCTGCTGCCTACGTGGCCAACCTCAGCCAGGGCACCTCTGCTCATCGACCGTAAGTATCCGATGCTCTGGAACTGCAGGGGGATGGAGGCTGGACCATGGTAACGTGTTCCTGCCCAGGGAATGTTGTGCTCATCCTCTGTGACAGGAGGAGCATGAGCTCCTTGTCCCTGGCTCTTGCCATCAGTGGTGGTGGGGCTGAGTAGGGATCTGCTCCCCCCTGGGCATCTCTGCTCCTGCAGCTCATAGCAGTGGGGTGGAGGTATTGAGCACAGCAAGCAAGGGTTGGGGGTGCACCAAGGGGCAGAGATGCTGATACCCATTCCTGGGTTTATCACCCTCACAAAGGATGGGGTAGCTCTGTGCTGGGGTGCAGTGTGATGCTGTGCACGGGTGCAGCTGCAGTGCTGAATACATAGGCCCCTGCTTGCCACGACTCCTTTCCCTCTTGCTGTGCATTAAAGGGGGAGAAGAGAAGCTTGTACCTGAGCCCTGCCAGCTCTGAAGGGCCTTAGCGTGCAGGGAGAAGCAGTTTGGGTTGGGACCTGCTGGGAAGCTCCGTAGGACCGAGCCATGGTGGTGCTGCTGCCCGGCTCCAGCTCATCCAGGGCCGGGGGTTCCCCTGTCGGGTGCCTCCCATGGGACACGGAGCTCGGGTTGACGTGTCAGCCCGCCCTCCGCTGGGGAAAGCCCAGGCTCATCGTTGCATAAAGCAACCTGGTCCTGACACGCTAGAGAAAGCGCCCCAAGACACGGCTGCTCCCTGTGCTCCAGGCCCTGACTCACGCAAGGGATGGGATGGGGCGGGTGTAATCACCCTGCAGAACCATCCCGGTGCTCTCCCTGGGCTTCCCGGGAGCGGGGGTGAAGGAAAGGAATAGGAGGAGCCTGGAAAAGGGCCCTGATGTGCAGGGGCCGTGACTGCAGTCAGTGGGATGCGGGAGACCCTCCCTCTGTCCCCTCCCTGCATGTGCTTTGGGGAAAGGCAGATCCAGTCTGGTTTGGACTGTACTGGGATCACAGCAGTGAGGACCATGGAGTTAGCTCGCTGCTTTCATCCCATTGCACAGAGCAATTGGGCAGGCTGTCGCTGAGCGTGTGTGCATAACCCAGCCCCATCCCGAGGACAGGGCAAGGGCAATGCCGCGGTGCAGGAGGGCAGCAAACGTTCGGCTCCGCAGCCGGGGGGAGCCGGGAGCACACAGACTGCGCGGAGCCGCAGGTCGGAGCCGGGTGCTCATTTGCTCAGCTGCTCTAACCCCATCACCGTGTAATTTCCTGCTCAGCTTCGCAGACGCTGGTGATCCCAGGTAATGATGAAACCTTCAGCTGCTCGCGTCCTGGCTGTGCTTAGGCTGGATGAAGGGACAGGCCAAGGGGAATGGCTTGAACCTGCCCGAGGGGAGACTGAGCTGAGCTCTTAGGCAGAAGCTCTTCCCTGTGAGGGTGCTGAGGCGCTGGCACAGGGTGCCCAGAGAAGCTGTGGCTGCCCCATCCCTGGCAGTGCTCAAGGCCAGGTTGGACACAGGGGCTTGGAGCAAGCTGCTCCAGTGGAAGGGGTCCCTGCCCGTGGCAGGGGCTGGAGCTGGAGGAGCTTTAAGGTCCCTTCAACACAAACCAGGCTGGGAATTCTATAAGGCAGCCTCTTCCCAGTGTTCCTATGAATCCTGTTGAGTCAGGACCCATCCTGCTTTTTCATGCTGGAGATTCAGTGACAAGTGTCAGAGCTGATGAGGCACAGGAGAGGGTCTTGGCTGGATCCTTGGAGCAGCAAAAGGCAGCTCCCAGTGATGTTTTCATTGCTCCTGGGCTCTGAGAGCTGGTTGTGTCCAGGAGCTGCAGGTCAAGAAGCACACAGCATAGCTGTTGCTCTTGTAGCGGGACACATGGGTGCAACCCCACTGGAGCATCCTCTATGCAGCAGATGGTGGTTGGTGTTTCCATTAAGGGCATGCTGTCAGCCCAGGTTTTGGGATGTCAGCACTGACTTTGGGATGCAGCTGAGACCTGGGCAGCTCCATACGGTGGTGAGCAAACACAGCTGGAGGAAACCAATTGCAGGTAACAAGCTGCATAAAAATGCAATCAGGACCTACTAAACCTATTCCATCCAAGCAGGCTTGAGCAAATGGTGGTAGGGAGCTGCTCCCTCCCATCCCTGGCTCAGAGGATGCTGGAGCCCTTAATGTGGATGCAGCCCTGTCCATGCACTATCTCTTTGCCCCACACTAAGCCCTCTACTCTTCCCCTTAGCTGGTACTTCAGCAAGATCAGCCGAAACGAAGCGGAGCAGCTCCTCCTTTCACCTCCCAACCAGCATGGCTCCTTCCTTGTCCGGGACAGCGAGAGCAGCAAGGGCGAATACTCTCTCTCAGGTAATTTTATGGCAATTATCCAGAGCGAATTAGCACAGGGAAAAAGGAAGCAGCTGTTCCCTAGGGCAGCTCCTGGCTTGGTCAGCGCAGGGTGAAAAACACGGAAATATGCTCAAAGCACCTTACAGCATCTTGTTAAGGCGACTTGACAGCTTGTTAAAGCGTGGGGAAAGCTAAGGGATGCAGGTATGGATTGCTGAATTACTGCGGCCAAGGAAAGTCCATTGCTCCTGTCCAGGGTAGGAAAGCCATAAACAAATCACAGCGGGTTAATGATGGTTTTGTGGCACCAACTCCCAGGGTTTCATTCCAGCGGCTTTTGTCAGCTGAGAGTTGTCTGAAAATATGCTGTGACTGCAGAATAGCAGGGGCTAGGCTGCTCCCACACACCTGTCTGAATTCAGGGGGCTCAGACCAGGCAGCGCTGTTGGAGCCTGGTTTGATCCGTGTCAATGTTCACAGTGGACCCCACATCCACGCATCGGTCCCCAAGGCTGTGGAGGTCCACCCCAAACAGCAATAAAGGGTCTGTCTACTAGGGATTAGTTCCGTTAATAAAGCATCATCTCTCATAGCATCTTTCTCATAGCAGCCTTCCAGTATCTGAAGGGGGCCTATAGGGATGCTGGAGAGGGACTCTTTGTTAGGGACTGTAGTGACAGGACAAGGAGCAATGGGTTCAAACTTAAACAGGGGAAGTTTAGGTTGGATATAAGGAGGAAGTTCTTTACTGTGAGGGTGGTGAGGCACTGGAATGGGTTGCCCAGGGAGCTTGTGAATGCTCCATCCCTGGCAGTGTTCAAGGCCAGGTTGGACAGAGCCTTGGGTGAAATGGTTTAGTGTGAGGTGTCCCTGCCCATGGCAGGGGGTTGGAACTGGATGATCTTAAGGTCCTTTCCAACCCTAACTATTCTGTGATTCTTTGGCACAAACAAGCCCTGGTTGCCTATGGACAGGAATCTCCTGAGCCAGGAGCTGGGAGCAAATGGGATGATGTGGAGTGGGGTGTAACACAACAAGGGTAAGTTGTGTTGCTTTAGAGTGAATTAATAGAGTAGGTGCGTGGATATGAGAGAGGGTGAGGGTCAGCAGGGAGCTGGGAAGGGACTGGAGATGGCACGAGATGATTTTCCCGTTCCTGTTCTTCCCTGCAGTGCGCAACCACACGAAGGTCAGCCACTTCCGAATCTGCAAGAGCCCGGGGGGCAGCCTCTACATCCAGAAGGGACATCCCTTCCCCGACATGGAGGAGCTCCTCGCCTTCTACACGGAGCACTGGAAGGTCATCCAGAGCCCCTTGCTGCAGCCCTGCAGCCCTGCGGTGTGTATGGCAATGGCAAAGCTCGGCCAAGGGCCCCGGGATGGAAATAGGGGAAATTAGGGAAAAATAGGTATAATCAGTCTATCCATTTGGGGTTTGAGCTTTATGAAGCCAAGTTTAAATTATACCCTTAGTATAGCTGCCACCTTTTATCAGCCATGTTAAATCCAGGCATGGCATTTGTATGTGTTTCTGACCAGCCAAAAGGCAACGTCTTCTCCATCTCAAAGACAAGAAAGCACATTTTTACAAATCCCTTCAGTACTGAATCTGGACAAACCCACACTTCCAGTTCTTTTTCCTAAACTATAATAAAACCACATTGCTTTTATATAGCTTTCATGTCAATTAGCATGGCACTCATAAATCTGATGAGAGTATTAATCCCAAATTGCTGACTCATTTCCTGATTAGAATTCCATCCACTGATTATGACTTGGAAATAACAGTTAAACAGGTGAATAATGCGAGAGGGAAATGGAAAGTTATAAGATAAAAGAAATGCTTAATGAGCTGGAGTCTAAATCAGCTATAACGTGCAGTAATATTCATTTACTCGTTATTATTTATTGGTGGAAATGGAGAAAAGCCATATTTGAAGTCTAATGAGGAGTGAATTATGACTTGAATTGCTGATGTTTCATGTAGGCTCTGAAGATCTCCTCCCTTGCAGACTTGGCTGAGAGCAGAGCTAACGCAGAGGGTGCCCCACATCCTGTGCCCCCAATGAACATTTAAGAGAGGGAAAAGCAGTCCCAGTGCAATGCAGGGGGTGGAGCACCGTGTCCTGCTCGCTCCTCAATGCCACCGTGGGCACCAGAAGCTGGTGCAGGCTCCACCAGCAGGTCCTGGGGCTGGCTGGTCCGAGCACCCGATGTCCATGTTTGCAGACCCCCCCCGAGAGGGATGGCTGGGAGCGCCCACGCTGGGAGTTCACCCTGCGGAGGAAGCTGGGAGAGGGATACTTTGGAGAGGTGTGGGAAGGGCTGTGGAGGAACACAGTGCCGGTGGCCATCAAGATCATTAAAGGTAGGTGAAGGAGGAGATGTCAACAGTGGCCAAATGGGGCTCTTGTTCACTGTGACCCATTGGTCACTCCTTCTGTTTCCCAGTCTTCTTGGTCCCCATGTCTTATCAAGTGAACTGTGGTAGGACCTGGCAGGTAGCCACTGGACCCACCTAAGCTTGGGCTACACCTTGGATACTAGGTTGGATGGAGCTTTGAGCAAGGTCTAGTGGAAGGTGTCCCTGCTGGTGGCAGGGGTTGGAGCTGGATGATATTTAAGGTCCCTTCCAACCCAAACCAGGCTGGGGTTCTATGATCCTGTTTATAAAATGGCTTAATCTAGTGGGTTTGTGATAAGTCATATCAAGTCAAATCAAATCAAATGGTTTGTGCTCTGATGGGACAGTGATCCTGAAAATGGGATCCTGATGGGAAAACATCTCTTGGGTGTTGGATCTGAGACACAGGATATGCAGACATCAACTTTGAAAGCAATGGTGGGCTATAATTAGGAAAAAGGTCCTCATACCTCATAGTTGGACATGGTGAGCTCCTAACATCCACATGAGAAAGCAGCTCACAACAGTGATATTGGCTTTGTCCCCCAGCTGACATGAAGGCAGAAGACTTCACTAAGGAGATCCAGAACCTGAAGCGCCTGAGGCATGAGAAGCTGATCCAGCTGCACGCTGTGTGCTCGCTGGATGAGCCTGTGTACATCATCACTGAGCTCATGCGGAAAGGCAACCTCCACACCTACCTCAACAGTGAGTACCCCCACCATGGGGAGCAGGGTCTTGGGGCAGTGGGTGCTTTCCATGTCCCAGATTAGCCTGACAAACCCAAGGGTGAGCCTAAGAGCAACCTTGGTCTCAGTCCTGTGTGGTAATGCAGAGCAATCCACGGATGCTTGGTGGAGATATCTTGGGTGACTTTAACACCCAAAGACCCAGTCTGATGTGATCCTTTTGGTGACCGTGTGGGCTGGGTCTGTATCAGTCCGTTGGGGCCCAAGCATGTTGATAGGGACCTTCATCCCTCCTTCTCCATCCACCCATGATCTGCCAGCTCCCACCAGTGCACTGAGACCCCTCTGCTGTGCTTGGGCAACTCTTGGCTTTGTTATGACTGAAATAGCCAAACCTGAGCTGGCATCATGGTTGTGTTCATTATGCAGAGCTAGTACCAGGCCATGGTCCACTCAGGCATCAGTTTATTTTTCTTGGCCTTTCTTTTCCTGACCCAGTAATCAGTCTTGAAGGGAAACAAGACAAACCGCTTCCCACCAAGACCTGTTTTTCGACTGGTACCCTCCTCCTCCTCCACACTGACCTTGTTTTTGGTTGGGGCTCCAGCAGCATCTGGTACTGGAGGAGCTGGAGCTCACAGGTAGGACAAGTTGAGAGGCTTGGCTGGAGATTTGCATGGTAGAAGGTCACCTTTAGCTGTGAACAAGCCATGGACGTCTCCATCGTCACAGTAGCACAGGGTGCTCTTCAGAGCTCACATCAGTCCCATTCCTTAGGAGCACATGGTTGTGTTGAACTTCCCATGCTGGACTACCATGATGTTTAGGCACGACCTCCATGTGGAGGTTTTACATGTTCCCCTGGGATGGTGACATGGGACCAGGTCTCCTTCCAAACCAGAACACCCAAAATAGATGTTGTTTCATTGCCCCCAGTGCTGGGTTCATCTCTGTTAACAGGTCCTGAAGGGAAGTCCCTGGGCACCTCTCACCTGCTCAACATCGCCTGCCAAGTGGCGGATGGGATGAGGTACCTGGAGGAGAAGCACATTGTCCACCGGGATCTGGCGGCCAGAAACATCCTGGTGGGAGAGGAGCTCACCTGCAAGATTGCTGATTTTGGACTTGCCCGGCTCCTCAAGGTCAGTCAGTGGGATGCTGTGCTCCCTCCTGTCATCCCAGGCCACCAAGCTGCCCCATCCATGGGGCATCCCATTCCGCCACCATCCCCTGTCCCAGTTCAAAGCCACAAAAGCAGAGGCTGTGTTCATTACCCCATCCCTCATGACCCATCTCTGGTTGCTTTTCAGGATGACATTTATTCCACCAGCAGCAGCACTAAGATCCCAGTGAAATGGACAGCCCCAGAGGCAGCCAACTACCGCACCTACTCCCTCAAATCCGATGTCTGGTCCTATGGGATTCTGCTCTATGAAGTCTTCACGTATGGACAGATTCCATATGAAGGTAGGGTTCCAGTGCCACTCCACCCTCATGCTTGTCAGCTTGCCCGTGGTCCCTGAAAGCCAACATGTCATGAGTTGTTCTATTGCCCTTTCCACACAGGATGTGGAAGCAGCTCCTAGAGCATAAGCAACTTCTTGTCCTCTTTGGGGATTGCTAAAATGGATTCTCAGTGCTTGCAGGAAGGAGGCATGGGCTGGATGATCTCCCATAGCCTCTTCTCTATCAGCCTCATGGCAAAGCCCACATCACAGCAGCACAAGCTGACACCTTGGCCCATTGTAGTTGTACCTTCAGAGCATCCTTTGGGGACACCAGATCAAGGGGCATCTTCTCCTATTCCTTGCAGGGATGACAAACCAAGAAACCGTACGGCAAATCACCAGGGGGTACCGCCTGCCCCGGCCCAGCTCCTGCCCTCCCGAGATCTACAGCATCATGCTGGAATGCTGGAGCGGCAACACGGAGGAGCGTCCCACCTTCCTGGCCCTGCGGGAGAAGCTGGGCTTCATCTACAGACGGCTGCTCAGCTCCCTCTCTTGAGGGACCCTTCCCCACCATCCTTCCTGCACAAAGCTCCTCCAGGCCAGCTCTTGCCAAGAAGCTCCTTCCTTCTGGTTTGCCCTCAGACAGGGCTCCAAGGAAAGCATGTTCCACCCCCAGAACTGTGGTCCCTCTCAGTCAGGATGCAGGGATGTGGCCAAGGGAAAAGGCAGTGAGAGGTGGAGAACCCATTGCTAGTGCTTGGCTGTGTGGCAGCCTGGAAAAGCCCCATGGTAGTGAAGGCATCACCCAGAGTTTACATGGTCATACAGGCAGTAGGGTGGGAGGTCCCTGCTGCTCCCCATGCCAACGTGAAGGTTTGCAGGTCGTGTTCAGTTGTGGCTCTGCTTCATGTAGTGTGTCTGGTGTGTTCATCAATAAATGTGTGTGCATCATCCGTTGCTGGATGCTCTGCCCCCACCGTGCTGCTCCTCTCGCTGCCCACAGAGCAGTGGTTTGCCACCAGTCCCACTTCTGCAACCACAGATAGAACCACCCTCGTGTCTCTTTGGCTTATCCTTGAGTGCATTAAACCTCTGTGTGTGTCTGAAGAAGGAACAGGCCAAGGGGAATGGCTTGAACTTGCCAGAAGAGAGATGGAGCTGAGCTCTTAGGCAGAAGCTCTTCCCTGTGAGGGTGCTGAGGCGCTGGCACAGGGTACCCAGAGAAGCTGTGGCTGCCCCATCCCTGGCAGTGCTCAAGGCCAGGTTGGACACAGGGACTTGGAGCAAGGTGCTCCAGTGGAAGGGGTCCCTGCCCGTGGCAGGGGTTGGAGCTGGAGGAGCCTTAAGGACCCTTCCAACATCTATGATTCTATGAACCATTGCTTCACTGTGTTTTGCTCTTTACCACCCTTACAGTACAAAGCCAAGTGATGCTCGGGTGGCCGGGAACACGATGTGCTGGGGGTGAAAGGCAGCCTGGCACAGCTTGGATGCTGATTTCCTACTAACAAGCTCATTTGGCCTGAAGACCAAAGCCATGTCCAGGAGGTGATGGGCAGGGACACGCTTGCTGCAGCCATAAAGATATTAAATTTGCAGGTCTGGATGCCACCAGATGGAGCTAAGAATTAAGGAGGGAGGTGAAGGAGGAGTGTGGGGTGATGGGGTGGTCCATGGCTGGGGGCCCTCAGACTGTGAGGCACCGGCCCCATCAGACATGAGATCCCAAAGCGCCTCATCTGCTGTAGCAATACCATAATGGGTGGTGTGGAGAGGGGACATGGTGCTGCCCACAGCAGCGTTTCCTTCCTCCTCTGCTGCATTAAAAGCTGGCGTGCTGCTTGGGTTTACCCTCCAGCATGGTCTGCTGGGCTCTGGCATTCCTCTAAGTCATAAATTGCTTACTAAAAGTAGATGGATTTGGGGTGGGTGCCCAGATTTCCTCATCTTCTCCGAGGATCCCAGCCTGGGCAGAACACTGCAGCTTCCCCCAAAATCAGAGCTGCTATGGGGAAATTCATCCCACAAAGGCAGAGCCCCAGTTCCTTCCAAACCCCTCTGGAATGGGCGCTGCAAATGCTGTTGGTAGAGGCATTTGCCTGCTCTGGTTTCAGGCTGGCATTTGAAATCAGTGCCAGGCTAACGCGATGCATTTGTGCTGCACAGTTTGTTTCTATTTATAAGGGCCCACATTGGCCTTTGAAAGGGTGAGGGGGAAGCAAAATGCTGGAGGGTGGGGGGAGAAAGGCCCCAGGCAGCAAAAACAGGCAATGAAAGGGAATATTTCTTGGAGGAGTCAGCGGGGTGGCACCAGGGACCGAAAGCGAGCGGAATGCACCGGCTGCTTTAATCCCAAGTATGTGAGTCACTCAACAGGGAAAACACGGGATCTCATGGAGCAGAGAGGGGGAAGTCTGCCCCTATGGGTTGGTGCTACGGGAGGTGGGTGCTTGCCCCTCCGACAGCAAGGCTGATGATAAGGGGGGATGCTTAGGGAGGGGTATGGTGCATAAAGCTGGTGGCATCACAGGAAAGAGCCAGGGATGCAGGATTAGTGCCTTTGCCCTGCTATAGCCTTCCCCTGGGTGCCTGAGGACTCCCATCACGAGACCAGTAAGCAAATAGAGCAGTATTGACTTTACCTCTGTGTGCCCACACTTCAATCTGCAGCCCGTGATGCTGAAGGCTTGCAGGGAATACGTTTGTCTCTCGAGACCCTACTACTGCTGCTGGGAATCAGCAGCGGATGAGACCCAGCTGCTTCCCTGAGGGATCCTAGGGCTCTGGGGCATGGACAAGGTGTCTGCTGGTCCAGCCAATGCCTCCTCTTGTCTTACTCAGAAAGTGGGGGTTTTGCTTGATTTTCAGGTGTTTTGTGACATTTTAAAGGCTGCCGTGTGCTTCCTGTGATATAGAACCATGCATACCCCAGCACCCGCCACTACCGGATCCAACCATGGATCCAACCCGTGTGTCCAAGGCTGCTGGCCCTGGGGACCCCCACAGAGCCATTCCCTTTGGATGCACACAGAGAGTGGGGAGCAGACGTCCCAGTGCTGCCCTGGCTGCTCCTAAGGATGGAGGGGACACAGAGGACAAGGACCGCAACCTGGAGCCACAGAGCTCAGGGCAAAGCTAACACAACGCTTTTCCCTACCAGAAGCAAGGAGCAAAGCTGGATGTGACCCTGGATGCCTCTGCAGCACGGGTGTAAAGCGGAGCAGCCACGTTTCCTGCAGCTGCCTGAGCACAGCCTTGCCCTTTGCCCCTGCCCACACAGGTACAAAGTCAAAGTCATCACTCGGAGATCGTGGAACCCCAGCCTGGTTTGGGTGGAAGGGACCTCAAAGCTCCTCCAGCTCCAACCCCTGCCATGGGCAGGGACCCCTTCCACTGGAGCAGCTTGCTCCAAGCCCCGGTGTCCAACCTGGCCTTGAGCACTGCCAGGGATGGGGGAGCCACAGCTTCTCTGGGCACCCTGTGCCAGCGCCTCAGCACCCTCACAGGGAAGAGCTTCTGCCTAAGAGCTCAGCTCAGTCTCCCCTCGGGCAGGTTCAAGCCATTCCCCTTGCCCTGTCCCTGCAGGCCCTTATCCCAAGCCCCTCTCCAGGTTCCTGCAGCCCCTTTAGGCACTGGAGCTGCTCTAAGGTCTCCCCTTCAGGAGCCTTCTCTTCTCCAGGCTGCCCCAGCCCAGCTCTCTCAGGCTGTAACCCCCGGCTGCCATCTGGGCTGCAGCACCAGAGCACGCAGTCCCCATCCCGTATCTCAGGCTGGGGCTGAGAACAGACCAGGGCAGGAGATTTGGCACCTTTAAACCAGCCCCTGCCACGACCTTGTTTACCTCAAGCAGGAATTCGGGACCTTGCCCCCTTGCAGGCAGGAACCTGCAGGCTCTTGTTTTCGCTGTGCTTTATCAAGCAGCCTCCCCAGCTATCAGGCTAATCACAGCAGGGTCAAACAGGCAAAGCTGACTAATTCCAGGCAGAAATCAACCAAAACACCACTGAGGGCATTGCAGGACATTGCCCTGCTGTGCTCTGGCACTGACATCGGCACCATGAGCTCCAGGCTCTCATCAGACCCATGAAACGAGCCTTAGCTCTCCCCTCATTATTAAGGGCTCCTTTGGTAGCCCCTGCTCCATTTTATCAGCTGGAGATGGGTCTTGCAATCTCCTTCCCTTGTTATTCCGCACCCAAATCCTTCCCACAGCCCTGACCAGACCCAGCTCAGTCCCAGACACTCATTCCCACCCCACAAGGCATCGGAGCAGGGCTTCAATGTGCTTGAGGAGCAAAACAAGGGCAGTGCCAGCAGGGACAGGCTGTGCAGCCAAGTAAGGAGGCAATGGTGGGGGAGGCATTCACAGCATCACCCCAGGCCAGCCAGAGCTTGCTCACATGCCAACACACACGCATCCAGCGCATCACATGGGCACCATTGACATTACCAGACCCTGCCACTGCGGGTCCAACCCCACCAGCATTGACAGCATCACTCTGCTCTCCCACCCCGGGTGAAGAACAACCCACACCGGTTTAAAAGGCTGCTCAACTTTATTAGTTGCCATTGTGTGAGTGCAAGGTAAGTAAAACAAGGTACCACATCTGTGTGGGAAAGGGCATCCTTACGTTGAGGAGTAGAAAGGCTGGTGTGGGAATCCTCAGGGGGTTGTTGCCATCACAAAGCAGCACCTTTGCCTTGCAGAAGCCACCCTACTCTATGGGGGGGTAAGGGGATGTGCCCGCCGGTGTGGGAACAGCACCCAGCACCGACCCGCTCACACCGAGGGCCCGGAGCTGGGCTCACTCATGTGGTGCCTCCGTCCTGCTTCAGGGTCTGGCCCCAGGCCACAGGCCACTGGTCCTGTTGTCACCCGCAGCGCTCCCAGGCTGTAAGAGAGCACAGAGAGGGTCAGGGCAATGCCAAGGTGTGTTTTGGTGCTCTGTGTTTGTTTGTGCAGCAAAGGGATAGGTGCTCTGGGCATGAAGAAAGCACCCGTTGGGTCAGGATGCACCTTAGGGATGCTCCCATCTGCTCTGGGTTGCTGCACTGTTGCTCCCATGTTATTCCATCCTAGGAAAGCACTCACCTCTCCGGGGACTCCGACACGGCTGTCATGGCTGGGTGAGTCACCTTCCCAAAGAAGAAACTGGCCCACCAGTGACCGGGATCAGATTTGGGCAGACCTGGGGGACAGTGGAAGGGAAAGTCCAGGTTAGGGCAGCCCCAGCACCTACCCCAGTGTCATCCTGAGGCCTCTTGCTGTGAGGCCCTCAAAGTAAGAGGGATGTGGAGCTGTTGGAATGAGTCCAGAGAAGCCCATACATATGCTCTGAGGATGCTCCAGGAAGACCTCAGAGCAGGTCCAGTGCCTGAAAGGGCTACAGGAAACCTGGAGAGGGGCTTTGGACAGGGGCCTGTAGGAACAGGACACGGGGGAATGGCTTTAACCTGATGGAGCTTTAAGGTCCCTTCAACCCAAACCATCCTGGGATTCTATCATCCCATAGGAGAGGCTCAGTGGGGTTCGCATGGGGCTGGGATGGTGGCACTCACCTGGGGGGTGGGGGATGACCTCCCCTGAGTACTCAGAGCTGCTGCAGGAGCTGTTGCTGGATGTGGAGCTCAGGCGCCCTGTGGAGCAATCACAGCCATCAGAGCCAGCACCGACCCTCAGCCTTGGTGTGGCCATTCCTGTCTCATCACCACCTCAACCCAGCACTCGTGCAGCTTTAGTCCAAGTGCTACAAGCCTTGATCCTTGAGGTCCCTTCCAACCCGGTATTCTGTGCTTCCATGAATCCTGTTACTACTTTCAGCTCAAGGGGAATACTTTAATGCCCTCTGGTTTAGGCAATCCATTAAACCAGAAAGTCTCTCCCCTGGAGAGGTATCGTTGCCCAGGCTGGTTTTGCAGCTCATTCCCATACACATTTGAAATCATCACCTCTCCTCACCTACAACCTTAATGAC